CCGCGGAGAAGAATGCGACGCGGCCGCCCAGCAAACACACGCGCAACAGCCGCACGACGTCGCCCGGGCCGAGGCGCCCGAGCGCGGGGCCCAGCGCGACGCCCGCGGCGAAGTCGCCGCTCCCCGCGCACCGCGCGGCCGCGTCGCGGCCCGCGGCCGCGGCGACGGCGCGCGCCTTTCTCGCCTCGTGGGCCTCGTCGAGCGCGAGCACGCTGAGCGCGAGCACGCGCTCCTCGAGGAGGTCGTAGGCCGGGAAGACGGAGACGACGGCGACGGCGCGCTGCTCCGCGCCGCGCGCCGCGGCCGCCGCGAGCTCGCTCCGCATGTACGAGCAGCCGAAGAGCGTCCGCCCGTCGGCCGTCTCGACGACGAAGCACGTCGCGCGCGGCTCCTGGGCCGTGCCGTCGACGCTCCGCGTGTTCTCCGCGAGGCACGCGAAGGGGAGCTCCGCCTCGAGCGCCGCGACGACCGCGGCGTCCTCGCGCGGCTCGACCCACGTCGCCCGCGGGCCCGCGCGCGCGTCGAACTCGACGCCCACGGCCCACGCGCGCGGCGGCGACGGCGCCGGCGGCGACGAAGGCGACGAAGGCGGCGACGGCGACGGCGCTTCCGGCGATGCGGGCGGCGACGGTTCCGGCGGCGACGGCGGCGGCGCGGGCGGCTCCGGCGCCGGCTCCGGCGACGGTTCCGGCGGCGCGTCGTAAGTCGAGGCGTAGGCCTCGTAGGCCGTGCTGTCGTAGGACTCGTCGCGCGGCTCCGGCGAATCCGGCGGCGGCGGCGGCTCGTCGCAGGGCTCCGGCGATGCCGGCGGCGTCGGCGGCTCGTCGCAGGGCTCCGGCGTTGCTGGCGGCGTTTGCGGCTCCGCTGGCGCGCCGTTCGCTGCGGAATCGCGTTTCTTCTCGCGGCGCGCACGCATGCGCTTCGGCGTCATAGCAAGTGAGTTCTGGTGCGAGATGCGCTCAGCGCGGCGCGTGGGACGCTCAGCAGGCTGACCGCGGCCCAGACTCGGTCGCTTGAATTACGCGCTTCAATATGCAGCGTTTCTCTTTACCTTGAACCGTGTAATAGCGGCCGACTCATCGATGGAGCCTCTTGCGCCCACTGCGACGGACGACGACCAGGCTGCGCAGGTCGCGCAGGCTCGGGCGGCGGCGGCGGCGCGGCGGAGCGCGCCCGGCTTCGACGACGCCCGGTGCCAGCTGCACTTCGGCGGGGGCGACGACGGCGCGGCGCGACCTCAGGCGGAGGGGTCCGCCGGCGTCCTCTTCGCGCGGCTCCCGGCGGACGATACCCGCGTGCTCGCGTCGTGCCTGGCGCCCGGCGTGCTGACGACGAAGCTCGAGGACCACGACCTCGCGCCCGAGGCCGCGGCGCAGATCAAGTTGGTCAGCGACCTCGGCGGCGACGCCAAGAACCACGTCCTGAGCGTCGCGCCCTACGACATGCTCGTCAAGTACCTGGACGACTACTACGAGATGGTCGAGCTGAAGGTGGGACTGGAGCTCCGCACGCGCGTCGGCGTCGAGAACTACGGCCTGGGCGTCGCGCGCAACTCCCAGCGGGAGATCGGCTTCCAGAGCAAGGACGTCTCCAAGATCCTCGGCGTCGACACGGTCGCCGCGCGCGCCGCGCCGCCGGACGGCATGCGCGCCATCGTCCTCACGCACGCCGCCGTGGCGCTCTTCTCCATCGAGACCCTCGCGCGCGCCTTCGGCGGCTCGCAGGCGCTCGTGCGGAACGTGCTCCGCAAGCACGACTGCGAGTCGGGCGCGACGCGCGTGCAGTACCTCGCCATCAAGGACGCGACCATGGGCAACATGCTCGTGTCCCTCGTCTACGACAAGATCTGCGTCGTCGTCCACACGAGCCTGGGCGGCGACCTCGAGGCCATCGACGTCTACAAGGAGCCCGTCATGGTGCACGGCGTCGTCTCGTCCCTCGGCGAGGAGAAGACGCGCTTCGAGACCATCGTGGCCTTCGAGGAGTTCTCGCGCCAGACGCTCACGGTCGACGGCGAGTTTGTGTCCTACGCGATGCTCGGCGTCGGCGCGACCAAATTGGTCGTGAACGTGGCCGAGGGGTCCAAGGTCCACGTCGCGGAGCGCGGCGCCGAGGGCCTCAAGGCGAAGCTCCAGGAGGCGCTGCGGTTCGACGAGCGCAACGTCGGCGACGACGACGCGAACCTGCTCGTGCCCGCGTCCTTCCTCGAGGAGTACGACCCCATGGACGCGCTCGCCGCGTTCGCGGAGGACGAGCACGGGCAGGAGCACGCGGCGACGCGCGCGCGGCTCTTGGACATCCTCACGAAGCTCGACGGCACGCACCCGGTGAGAAAGCGGCGTCGAACTTTTGGGGGGTGCGCGTTCTTGTCCGACGCGCGCGATCCCCGCGCAGGCCTGGGCGTCCGGCGACCTGCGCGGCCGCGCCGTGCTCGTGGCGTCGCTGCGGGCGTTCGCCCAGCACTACAAGAACATCGAGTTCAACGCCGGCGACGTCCGCGCGTCCGAGGCCTTCGCCATCCACAGGACGACGTGGGCCAAGTCCTGCGGCGCGGGCAGCGACCTCGGCGCCGCGCACCGCGCGTTCGTCGCCGCCATGGGCACCGTCGTGCGCCAGGAGGCCGGCGTCACCTACGACCTCGCCGCGGACCCGTGCCCGTCCGTCGCCATCGTCGCCTACGAGCGGTCCGACGCCGCGGACGACTTCGAGAAGCAGACGATGGAGATCGCGCAGGCCGGCTCCGTCGGCCGCAGCCACGCCACCTACAACGCCTGGTACTTCCGCTACTGGCTGACGATCAGCCAGTGCTCCAAGGACATCGCCATCGGCATCCTCGTCCGCCTCACGCTGGCGGCGCAGCTCCGCCACATCGGCGTGAGCTACGAGGACCTGGCCATCGCGGGCTCCAGCGGCGTCGCCGCGGCGCTCCGCGCGACCGTCGGCGGCGACGCGACGCCCGTCGTCCTGCTCACGGAGGTCAAGGTCGGGATGGACGCCTTCGGGACGAAGTCCGCCGACGCCCTCCAGATCCCGCTCCGCGTCGTCTTCGGCGAGAACGGCTGCGAGGCGACCTACGCGGAGAACGCGCGCAATCCGGTCGTCCTGCGGATCTGGACCGCGGGCCCGTGGGCCCCGTTCCTCTGCCTGTCCAACCGCGGCGCGATCGTCCAGCTCAAGGACGCCGGCGCGACCATGCTCGACAACGGCCGCGGCTTCTCCTTCGAGCAGCAGATGATGGGGCAGGGCGCGGCGGTGTGCCTCCTCGAGCGCGCCCAGCGCAGCGCGGCCGGCGAGCGCGAGCCCTACGCGATGCCCTACGTCGACGCGCGCGACACGTCGGCGTCGAAGTCCACGCTCGTGTCCTCCCTCGAGACCGCCATGACCTTCGCCATCCAGCTCCTCGGCCCGGACGTCGTCGCGCTGAAGACGCAGCGGCCGCCCTGCGACGGCACGGAGGAGCCCGTGGCCCAACGGCCGCGCATCGACGATGGCGCGGCGGCGGCGGCCGCGGCGGCGGCGGCGGCGACGACGATTGACGAGCTGTCGAAGCGACTCGTGTCGGCGTCGTTGTCTGGGAGCCTCCTCTACCGGCCGACGCCCTCGGATTCCCAGCTCGCGGCCCTCACCGTCCGCGGCGCGGTGCTCGGCGCGGAGACTGTGACACCGGCCAAGGCGGTCAAGGATTTAGAATTGGACTTCGTCGTCGCTCAACGAGACAACAAGAAAAAGGGATTTGGAGGTCAAGGCCGGTACAGTTTCGAGCATGCTGACGGCCGAACCCGCGCCGCCACGCGGCTCGAGACCGTCACGGCCGCCAA